GGTTGTAGTCCTCCTCCTTTTCCTGCTTTGCTCTTTGCTGATAAGACATTAGTCCTTGCAGGTCAGCCCATCAACCGTGCACTACTAAGGCATTCTTGTGATTAACTATCTACTAACAAGGCATCTATTATCTACTGACAAGGTACTATGCCTCCACACAGACCAGATGAAACAGGCACGTCTGGAGTGTTGCCATGACATATTGCCTCCACTGATAGCTCAGGGACTCAAGGCAGAGAACTTGCAATAAATATCAGATGGTTAGTGTGCAAAAATACCAATTCAAAATGCAGAAAGAGTCTAAACTTCTATAAAGGAGCTGAGAAAGTCTTAACAGCAAAGGCTGCACAAAAGAAAAGCTCCTTTTAGACAGCTCAGCAGCACTAGCAAGACAGATTCTCATTCTGGCTTTCCACCTAGTAGTCCCACTGGTGCTAACGTTATCATACTGTATAATAAATCAGCAAGCAAGCCCCAGTCTCTCAACATCACCATTTATTTGGCTATGTTTAGGTCTCTCTGCTGGCAGTCAGATTGATAGGATTTGGCGGAACCTCCTGCTCTCTGGAATTGATGATTGATACATGAACCTTTTTGAATAAAACATCAGCCACCACAGAGAAACTCTGCAGAGGCCCCTGAGTCCATGCTAAGTTTCTCTGAAACTTGACCACACTGATCATCAGGGGAGGTGTGATCACCAGATCACACTTCATCTGTTACACTGATCAACAGCACTGGCAGAGTAAAGGGCAGGACACCCTGCACCAGCAGTGAAATCACATCTGTCCCTCTGCTATTTCTTGTGTAACTTCCATCAAGTCAGATGAGTAAGTGCCTCAGAAGACAGATACTGCCTCAGTCTGTTATGGCAGAAAAGCCACCTGATGCTGGAGGCTCCCAGCTGAGTCCTAGCCAAGATATGGATTCCTCCATGCTAGATATTATGGCTTGATCTATAGGAGCCTGAAATTCTTTTGTCCTGCTATTTTAAGTCTGAAAGAAATGGCTGGTACCTGAGACGGCTCTGGCAATGGTCATTTACAGCAAGAGCAGATTTGCATTACAGATACAGGGCAGACTCATGATTATCAAGACCTTGTGCCTTTATCAACTAGGCATTTCTCTGAGTTTGCAGCACCTCCAGACTGCAGATGCAGGAAGAGGGTTGTGCTTGTGGCACTGTCCACCTCCTGAAAAACTAAATTGACCATTATTTTGGAAGGAGGTTATTTGCAACTCATATTTTCTGAAGTGCTTTTGTACATGATAGTCAAAAGGCTACAAAATTACACATATTACAAAGATTAGGTTTGAGGGTTTGTATGGCTGGACCTAAGGCACACCTGGGGTCAATACTGTCAGCCCAGGAGTATGGTCCAGAATGAATTCATGATGGAAACCAAGGCAGGCATGTAGATGGAAAAGGCATAACCAATTCTGTCTGTTCCTCAGTCAAGACTTCACTTTTTTTCTGAGGTATTTAGTTAAAGGGAGAAAGAAAATGGCATCATAAACAATCTTGGTGAGTGAAGGAGCCTCCCACAACATGTTCTCTCTCTTGTTCCAGGGAGGCCCTCTGGAGTACAAAACAGCTTTAATTCATCCTGCCCACCCCACTCTTCCCTTACTTCCCTAGGAGCAGCATATATCTTTGGAACAGAAGCTGCAGTTGGAGACTGCAAGTGGGTAAAAGGAAAGGTCCAAGTCCTTGCTTTGGTAGCCCACAGGGCAGAGCTCTGAGGAGCCACTGGCTCCGTGCTTTACAGGAAGTATGCTCTCCTTCCTTTTCTGACAGCCCTTTAGGTTTTTAGTTTTTTCATTTGCTTGTTTTTTACAGTCCCTTGTGTTTGTGTTTGTCACTATTGGGTGAAAATGTTCCTGTTGTAGCAAAAAGTGATTTTGGCCGCATGTTCCTTCCTGACATAATGAGCGCTCCGAAGCCATGCTGATGGGAGAAGGCATAGCCAGAGCGGCGAGTACTGGTCCGACGCAGATGCTTCTTGGGTGAGGGGGAAGGTGGCCTCTTCTTAGCTTCTTTGATCTTGAGTAGGACCTGAAATCAGAAAATAAGATTGAACAAGTGGGAAATGCATCATTATTCAGGAGCACAGCAGAAGAAGAGCTCAGAAGGGGAAACAAAAGCATGGATCCAAAGCAGGAAATTATTGACAAAACAGGAGGATGGCAGGAGGAGCCAAAGAGCAGGAACTGAACTTGCAGCATCAGGGTAGCACTTTAGAAAAAAGAAAAGCAAATATTACCCCAAAAGGCATTATTGGGAATGTCATGTGTAAGACATGGGAGAGGGTGAGATCCATTTGTTACTCCTCATGGCACTATGAGGCCTCAGTTAGGGTTTTTTTTTTGAAGCTCTTTCCAG